CCACATATTCCCACACCCCGCCTGTGTTTTAAGGCGAACTTTAATCGATTTCTCTCATCGTTGACATGCCTTTGCCTCTACCCCGTTCCCATACAGGTCTGAGCAGAATTTATTGAAAGCTACGTATGCTGGCCACCTCGTCTTCTGATTAGAGCGAAGTAAGTTTGTTTACTGTAGCTGGGAGAGGACGGAGAGCAAAGCGCACAAAAGTTGACGGTGTTAGGTCAGGCTTGAGAGAGAGCGAGCCAAATGGTAGTGGCTGCTTTTGTGAGTCTGTGGAAAACGAGCTCAAGTGATGTCCCACCGGTCGAGGGTTGTTGTGTCTAGTAGCTTAGGTTGCGTTCGCCGAGGGGTGATATGTCCAAGTGGCGCATTGGCGCCTGCGACTGCGTCGACGTACGCGTGTCTGGGCTGAAAGTGATCGCATGGCTGCAGGTCAACGGGTCTGGGACCACTGCGAAAGCGAGTGAATGATCTTGACGCTGCAGGGCACTGAACAGGGACGCCGGACATCGCAATAATGGCTGCCGGCAACAGTTCTACCGGATAAACCAGCAGTTCCTTTAATTTCGCGGCGTATCAGAGTTATGGCCTTAAGTTTAGATGAGTGCCGAAGCATGCTTTAGGTGACTTATATTTATCAGGCCACTTATAACGGGCGTGCATAAAAGTAGTTATGGCATTCACTAGATAGCCTTCACTGGGGCTTAGTGATTCAACACATGCAATATCAACCATCATGTCAACCTGGACGCTCACTGAGGCCTGCATGCACGGCTTAGTGACTTACGTGCACGCCGAAAGAGCAGCTACTAATCAACACTCAGCCATTTACAATCTTACTCGTTCGCGAATTCCCTGGCACGGCAAGGGTCATCCGAAATACACAGTACCCCCCTCCCCCCCACCCTCACTTCCGGCACCTATCGCAAGGCGATACCCACCCCCAACAAGGACGATGTAATCTTTGTGTCTTCGAACCCTCCAGTGCAATAATCCCACTGTACATTATTTCCTTACTCTGACGAAAGTAAATGTAACCAGGTGAAGATTCACGAGTACAAATAACTACTTCCGAAAAGTAATCTTATGAGCATTCCTCTTCCACTTTGGGAAGAGTGAATAGCTACGTTTGCAAAACCCTCACAGCAACCTCGACACAAGCTCCATCAGATGATTAGATGAGTTTCTGCCAAGTTTCTAACTGTGTCTCCCAGATGCACTTTGAATTCAGCAGAATACACATTTGAGCACAGTGCGAAGTTAAGAAAACTAATTGATGGGCCGACGTTTTCCTTCGATCAATTCTCGCCAGGCCAGTACATTAATATGGAAACGGCGTCAGGTGAAACACGTCAGGCATTAGAGAAATCGATTAAAATTCGTCTTAAAATGCAGGCGGGGTGGAGAACATGGAAGGGGGAATGACGTGTAGGTCACTAGAGCCATGCCAGGGGCGGAATGATGCGGAAGGGTGCGGAGAAGCGCGTGTAGTTAATCGACTTTTGACAACGGTAAACGCGGTGATTGAGCGAGGTTCATCTGCAACAACAAGACCGGCATCGTGTGGATACTAGCGAAGCTTTTCGCGAAATTTATAAGGTTCCATCGTGCTACGCTAAGCTACTGTACCGTCCTCTATTAGCAGCAGCAGCAGCAGCAGCAGCAGCAGCAGCAGCAGCAGCAGCAGCAGCAGCAGCAGCAGCAGCAGCAGCAGCAGCAGCAGCAGCAGCAGCAGCAGCAGCAGCAGCAGCAGCAGCAGCAGCAGCAGCAGCAGCAGCAGCAGCAGCAGCAGCAGCAGTAGTAGCAGCAGCAGCAGCAGCAGCAGCAGTAGCAGCAGCAGCAGCAGTGGCCGCTATCGGGCTACGAAAATCGCTTAAATCGTTGAAATGTTCTACTTGGTCCCCTCCCCTTACAAAGGCATTAGCCCGAGGAGAATTTATTTAAAGCAAACGTGTGACGGTCAGCAAGTCTAAATACTGCACTGGGAATTTCCGCAACCCTAAAAAAGTGAGAAGTTCTACGGGGATACCCATGCAATCATTGCAGAAGTCCCGTTCGGTGAACGTGCGCTTTCGATTATTCATCCTCAGGCCTGTATAGTAATATAAGTTAGAGAAGAGCAGCAAAAGTCAAAACAGTCAGTGAACAGTAGTCATGGGAGGAGAGGGTGTAGAACGTTCAGACATCTCGGTTCTGTCAGGGCTCGTTCTGTTGTTGATTCTATATCTGATGACGGACTCCAGCACGGGTTCGAAGACTCAGAACAATAAACAGAATGTCCCGGTGCTCAACCTCCCTTCTCCTTCACTTATACATACACCTGGAACTGGAACCTTCGCCTTCATGTTTTGCTTGACGCCGTTCACATATAAATTTACGGACGTGACAAGAATTTTTTGAAGGCCAACGTAAGCTCATCAATTAGTCTTCTGAATTTCGCATTGTGCTCAAAAGTACATTCGGCCGAATGTAAAGTGTATCTGGGAGACACAGTTAGAAACTTGGCAGAAGCCCATCTAATCATCTGATTGAGCTTGTGTCGGGGTTTCTGGAAACGCAAAACTTCACTATTCCTAAATCGGAACACGGGACAAGAGTAAATGAGAGTCGTTTTGCCTGACTCTCCTTCCTGACGGATCTGCGTCGTCCAGTCAGTCGACAGCCTTCGAAGTCACGAATTTTAGCGCGTCATGATAAATGTAATGCCGTCGATATTCTTATTCTGAGGAACGCGCTGAATTGGTGTCGGAATGGGTTCCATAGCTAATCTCACTCCCTTCCATCCCAATACAACATTACGAGTTCCAAGACGGTCAGTTGTCTGGATCGGCGCTGCTTGAGGCCTGCTTCCTTGTGTACCACTACACCCTATGGTTTTTTGTCATTGGATTCGAAGACACTGCGCCACCTGGTTAACGCATGCCCTAATTTAGTGTGTAGCCCGTTTTAAGAGTTCATCCAGAACCCATATGTGGTGAGCGTTAGTATTATTTAGATTTTATCGATTCAGTGCTAGTTTCTTCACCGGAATAGACTCCCCCGAGGCCAAAGCTATGTCAGAAGACAGTCTAGATAACTCGGTTATTCTTTGTGGTGCTATAGCAGTAAGATTAGCAAAGCAGGATAGAGTTAATAAGACGAGGAATACATTGAAAAGTGGACGCAAACTCGAGGTGACTAGACGAGTAGTCAGTGAATGACGCCAAAGTGTGGTGGTCGGTTTAAAAGCGAACGGCAACAAAGAACGGTGAGCATGGAACGACGAGGACCGACGAATAGGGATACAGAAACAAAGGTATGCGTAATGAGTAAAGTCTGGTTACTAACAAACAGTTAGTAGCAAAAGAAACAAAGTGACATCAGAGATGCCACAATAAGCCTGGCTGTCAATTATTGGCGCGTTTTATCCCCTCTCCGCATGTTATTCAAGCCACACATTTCAACCACCAGTAATCGGCAACAGATTAGGCACCTAACTCATATGATTCGTCGAATTTTTTGTAGCTGTGATTGCGGTTAATGAAGGAGGTAAAATCGCTGCGGGGGAAGATCGCTAGGGAGGACGTCAAAATTTCAGGAACGTCTAAGGGCGGAGTTACGGCAGATTGTGACAAGATGAAAGTGGTACCTTTGAACAGCTTTTGTGGCAGGCGGAGGACAGAAAGCGAGTCGTAGATGGCTATCCCGATATCCCTTGTCTTCTCCACTGGCGTCAATGCGACTGCCAGCTAACTGACACCCGAAGTGCATTTACCTTCTTTCATCCATCAACTACTGTGGGGGTTCGAACCCATGTTCTCCCTCAGCCAAACAAACCGGACCTTATCTTCGACTACCTCTGATGATGAGTTCGAGTGCGAATCCGAAACGTCAGGCCCATAAATTTCTTTTTCCAGTGAAGCATCTCCGTCTCCAGAACCGTACTTCACCTGTCAGGACTCCTCGACCCGGGGTTGACCAGTGAAACTCTGGAATCTGGGCCAAAGTTGCCTGACGAAAATAAGTAGGCCATATACAGTCATTCCGGTTTCAATTATATTTGTCCGTTCTTATAGAAATGGTAATATTCGAATTCCAGAACTTATGCAAAATAAAGAGGATCCTTTTAAGCCACTGCGTCCGAGGATAGAGCGAAGGATCGTTTCTGATTTCTGCAAAAGTTCATCTTTATACCCTATATTCTTTTGCTTAGTACTATGAACGTTATCCATTCCCGTGATTCTGACACAAAAAGACACAAATAGGTATGAAAAAGTTTACTATACACCCGAAGGTACCCGTAGCAGGTACATATGAAGAAAACTTTGGGGAAATAATTTGATGAGTGCTTGATTTTAAACAGGGAAATCGGAATTCTGCATTGACTACCTCTGGTGAGTAAGTTGCAAATGATGTTGAATTTGTTTGTTAGAGAGGTTCTATGCAGCTTATTTCTATGAGGACCAAGGAAATACCCCAAGACTCTTGCTGGACTAGGACAAGCCGTACAGCGTATTCGCCCTTTTCTAAAGGCATCTAAATTTTGGTTACGTCGGCACATAGATTGTAACCATGCTATGATCCACTGTAAACCTGCGATTAGTGTGAAAGTGCTTGCAGCGGTCAACCAAAAGTAACGGATTATGTCAAAGTTGTGGTCTATTCCTGGGTCGATCGTTTCTCTCTACAGACGTCTCGGAGGTAGCTTTCGTCCATGTACAACTCACACATGTTGCCTCGCTACCTTAAGATGCCAAGCAGTCGTTCCATGCTTCGCGGCAGATTTGTCAGTTATCGTTAAAAGCAAAACCATCCCGAGTGGCATTCCAATTTTTCCTCCCTAACCAGTCATGGGTTGCCCTGGTTTACATAGCTCTAACCATATAGGGGCCAGGCTGCTAGAACATTAACGTTTGGTTTGACTAAGTCACACAGAACATGCGGACTTGAGGTCCATCTGACATCACGTCCGAATTCCTAGGCGAAGCCTTAGTTTCTTAATTCTCAGTTATTACATTTTAACGTCAGTCAAATTATTTATCGAAACCGGATTGGAAGTGAGACAACTTACCGATCGTTTTCCCCACGCAATACGCAAGCATGTGTCGAATAAAAATACACGCAGACTTTGCATTATCTTGCTGTGTCCTGGATGGAAGGCTGCCCACTGCCGTCAAAGGAAAGTCCTCGGTAAGTGCGGGTTATAATTACCCCATCCAGAATTAACGGTTACGCTGTCGTTACTTACATACGTTCAGTAGCTCAATATGACTGAACTAACAAATACAGCCCCCTCTGCATAAGTTGGCATGACTGAACATAACGGAGGGGTGCATAGACAAAGTACCTGTTTCCGTTAGGCCATATTTCTACTATAAGTACAGTCCTAAGGCATTTCTGTCTACTTCAAAGAGAAAAAGAGCTCTATAACAAGTGGTTCTTCTTAGTTTTACTCATGTCATTGTTGTTTACAGGCGAGCGTTCAATTGACGGTATGATAGCATCTATCTTATAGCCCTTATGACTACCGAAAAAAAACAAGGGAAACCGAAATGGCCATTTCCGGTTTTTCAGCCATCGTCAGCCAGCCATACCCAACCCAGAGCTGTGCAGCCACCGAGTCGAAAACCCGTAATTCTTTGGTTAGAAGTTAAACGCCTATAAAACTGTCTATAATAATAGTCGCCGAGTGACTGCTGACGGGGCTCGTGATTGAGTCCAAATACACAGCGGAACGAGTGAGTCCCGTGCGCGAGCGGTGAGCGGTCTTCCATTAATGCCCATATCTGGCAAACGGAATATGTTTTTGGACAAATGCGTTCAACTACTCGACGGGATAACGGTTAATGTATGTAGTTTCGATTAAAAGAACCACAGGAACAGGCACTGGTTTATCTCATTCTCCACTGTCACTCAGTTAGGAATGTAATGGTAAACGCACACAGGGAGGGCGAAAATAGACATTTTTGTTGCCGTGAAGGGCCAGGAAGTTGATTTTACTGGTTCTTCTCATAGTAATCTAAGAAATCATGTTCCCACCCTTCCTGTAATACTGACTGCCTGCAGGAAAGTTCAGTAAGGAGGCTGTTAAGCCGAAGGTTCAATTCTCAGCAAATAAACTGAGTGCCATCGGACTATACCCTCCAGGAACCATAATCCATCGTCCATCGAAAGTCACAAAAGGGATCATGAGTAGGGACTATAGAAAGTTAAAACAGTTCTTTAGCGAACTGTAAATTCTGAATAACGTTCAACACTCGAAAACTTCATAAAGAATATCAACGCTTTTTGAAGGTTTTGCTGATTTTCTGAATTCCCACAAATAAAATCGCAAAAGGTTTTAGTCGTAAAATTAAATGATGGTATAATTGTTCGCGACCCCTCGTTCGGCTGCTAACGGTTTATGTTTAGTCCCTACAAGCGGAAGTGATAAGACAGCGCAGCATTAGGCAGGCAGACTTGTTACGATCGCGCCACTGCAATTAACTTAATTATATGAGTGAATTCGCTGAACGGGCATGGGAGAAATTGTTAATTATTAAGGGATCGCAACCAGTCCAGTGCGAAGCTTATCACGTGATCCAGTGGCCTGCGCTGGTTTGGCCTACACCCTCCCACTGCCACAACCGCGAACTTACGTCGGAATCAACCTTTCGAGCGCGTAGGCAGACGTTTAACGTCATTCTTCGAGTGTCAGCGCAACTGGTGGTTCGCAAGCACTTTTTAAATGAACTTTTCCGTGAGTTTTTTGCCTCTCTCAACAACCACTTTGGTATGTTGGCCACTTGTCGAAGTGCTCTTGCATGCGCCTGAAGCACTGGCATCCAAAGTTTAGTCGATCAAACACTAGGATGCCTGTAGAGAGTTGTCGTGAATTATCTGCGCCTAGGAAACAAATATTAGTTATGTTCTTAAAACACAGCATTATATTCTGTGTTAGTCAGTGATGCCGCTGAGCATATGATGAGTAATTAAAGTGTTTTGCTCTTTGTTAATGTAACACGCTACCTTAATAATCCTTAACGGATCATCTCCGTATAGCAAATGCATCTAGATCAGTTTTTGTTAACAAAAATGCATCAATATGGAAAAAGGCCCTTGTATACATACACGTACTTCTGCTCTCTTGGATACTTATGACATTTCAACTAACCTTCTTCAAACAGTGCCGTTTAAATGTGAGAACATCAATAAACCTTCGAAGGCATTCATGCTCCGATCGAAATTCGTGAGACTCTGACAAAAATTGTTGCTGAAATTTAATACGACACAAGTACTTAACTAATTTCCAGTAAAAATTCAGTCGCGCAGCATTTATATCAACTTACGGCCTTAATCTATAAAGTATGTTCTGAATAGATTTTTTCCGAGCTAGCGAATAATTTCTGAGAAAATTAAAGAGCTGCAAATTAAAATTGGAATATCTCCCTGACAGTACTCGGAGATTCTGACGGCCCACCGAACCCTAGCCAGTTGTGTTATGCAGGAGTAGAATATCTGCAACACATATTTTGGCTTCTTGTTGGTACACGTGATGTTAGGTAAGCAGCATCGTGTATACATACAGTAAGCGACCGATCCTATGAAATATCGGCTGAAATTCTGAAATGCCTTTTTTAATTAAAAAGGATTACATAGGCGTGTTTGTAATACTGATTATCTCGTGGCATTATACCATAATGTTTTGGACTCGACAAGATGCCGGCTTTTGAGCACACGGCTTTTTCAGTCTCCTGTAGAAACCTTACTCGATAAAAAGCGACTACGTAAGTAGCATGCACTTTCCCATTGATTTTCGATGGTCTTACAAGTTCAAATATATTTTATGGAAATCACGAACCAAAATGTGCTTTCTTTCAATCGTTTAATAGAGAATCACGTCATCTGTATATTTTACACTCGAAAAGGAGTATACTTAGGTTTTAAAAAGTTTTTTAATTGCCGAATAATTTGGAGCCTGATCAGTCGTTGCATTAGCACTTAATGACGTGATTCTGTATCAAACGACTAACATGTGTATTACTGCTTGCCTGTTGGCAATCTATGCGTATAACGTAGTTATTCAGTTGAAGCTGGTTTATGTCGGCCAAATATTCATTCTAACATTCCATATGAGCCTATAGAGCTTAGTTCCGACTGATTTACTCCGAGTAAACAATTAACGTCTGAGAAAATTAAATAGTCCCAATCTCAAATTGAGTGCGGAAAATCAAGCCTACGCCTGATTGCGAATCTTTTCAGTCATTTGTAAAACTCACGTCAAGGC